TTGATTAGACGATGCAGTTTCTGATATACCGAGTTAACGCCCAGGTCTAATTATAGGCGTCCTGTTGAGGTGCACATTAAGCTCTTACCTATATAGTTCGTATGTGGTGATTAAAATGTTTGAAAGTACTGTCCTGTCACAAGGTTGGCGGCGTCACCCTCGTGACTAGTTGGGTCATTTGGACCTAACCATTAAGAAACGCATGTTTCGGCTTGTCGAAGGGAGGATGCATGTCGGAATAAGCTTTACGGTTTAGATACAAATTAATCGATAAGCTTCATCTGATATTAAAACACGACTTCTGTTATTGCGTTTGTGCATTGCTTGCTTGAACTGCCTATATTTGCCGTTGTCACTGATTCGTTTATTTTCCACTCATCAGTGCCTTTTTCAAATCAGCAATCCAAAAGTGCGATTCTTGACGGCTGTAGGTTGATTTTAATTTTGGGGGACCGTTTACAGGACAGACTTATGTGGCACATAAGGTCGTGTGCATTAAGAAATCCCAATGTGTCCGCAGTAGATTTTGGGTGGGCTTCCCAGACGACCTGCCGTAGATTGACCTGTAAAGCTGAAACATCTAACCGTTTGTAATTCCAACACCTGTTGTTAGTAGCATTTTCCACCTCATATTTGTTGATAAAGTCGAAGGCAGTGACAGCATAATTACTTTTGTCCAAGGGAGACGGGATTAACGGTTGTTCATTTAGTAACTCTTCATTTGTAAAAATGCCGTCTAAGGGTGACGGCATCTCATGATTTGTTCACTGAGTTGCTAGGTTCAGAGTTTTGGATAATTCCAAATCTTTGGTAGAGCTGTCGTTTTCAATGTACACGTGGTCAACGAAGTTGACTTTAGGAAATTCGAAATCTACATGAATCAAGGTATGCGTGTATTTCAGACGAGTAGCGCGAGGTGATTCTTCCAGCACGCAATTATTGTATCCAGTGTCAGTAGTGAGGTTGTAGTGGTATTGGTTCTTAACCATGCTGTTCTCGAAGCTGAACGTATTATTACTGAAAGGACTTACTTTCAGTATGTGACACTTGGAGGTGGTGAACGCGGCAACAGATTATCGGTACGGCATGGCTTGCCTTTATTATTATTATTATTATTATTATTATTATTATTATTATTATTCACAAACATCTTATGGGTACATAAGTGTTGTGAAGAAACCATTTCGGGTCTCTTCAGAAAATGCAATAATACACAATTTTCAATAATGTTAGCATTATACTTGCCATATTTAAATAATAAAAAATTTAGAATAATAATAGTAGAATATTAATAATAATAAATGGGTTCTTTGTAATTGAGAAGAATATTGAATTGAGTTTAAAGAAGGAAATGGAGAAAATAAGGGAATAGAAATAAAGGAGACGTGAAATACGCAAACAGTCTAATAGGCGTGTTTATGAACACAGAACAAGAATAAACGGCTATGTGTGTATCGTTAAATTAGTAACAAAAATAATTAAGAAAAATAACTTATAATTGCAGTAAGACATGACGCTAGAATAAATGTTTGTGCAGTCATGGTTTGGAGTGATGCTATGAAAGTCACAATTAAGTGAAAAGGATAATAAAATATCACTATGTATGAGTCATATATGCATAGTGAAGATAAAACGAATCTGAGAAGTTAATTAAAGTGTGACACAATTTATTGTTTTAGTTACAAACTTCGTAATCTTAAGAATAATATTTATTTAGAGGGAAAGAAGAGAAAGAAAAGAAGTGAACACCTAATGAAAAGATTCATCCATGATAAGAATAATAATTGTGTAATGAATATCAACCTCAGAAGGAAACCAGAAATTTAAAAAGAAATAAAATAAAAATCCGTTAAAGCACTCGGATGAATACATTTAGATTTATGTAATAGTATACAGAATGACACCGGATATTAGTATAAATATTTGTGCAATAATAATTAAGAATGATGCTATGAAAGTCACAATTAATTTCAAAGGACAATCTGGAGTTAAATATGTTAAGAAGGATAAGAAGATATAAAAGGAATATCCAATGTATCGGGGAACAAATAATGATATTAATAACAGTAATAATTATAGATACGAACATAAGCAGACTTCATATATCAAGATGAATAAAAATAAAATAGACGTGAAAAGTTTCAAAGGTTACATTTTGCTTTTCAGTCAATTAGATGGATGACGGACCTTGTTTGTATAAATCATTATTGAGTACATTGATATTCAATAGGTGACATAATCCACTTTCGGAAAGAAAATCGTCGAGGAGACTTTTGAACCGGGTTGTAGTTTCACTGCAACGGAGGTTCACTGGCAGTCTGTTCCACATGGTTGAGTAGCGAATAAGGAAGAAATTCTGACGTAAGTATGTTTGTTTTACATTGTTCTTCTTGTTCCCCTTCTACTCTTTTGTATACTGTCGTATACTACTTATCTACATCCAGTAAGCAGTTGTATTCCGGACAATTTTCACACTCATATTGTAACGCAAATTGTACTGTAATATTCTGAAATGTTCACACATACTTATAACGTTTATTGTACTTGTCATTGTATTTATCATTATAATTATGCACCTTAATCACTGCGGCGGTTATCCACAGTTTCGTGCATGTGTTTAAACACAACGGTTTCCATATTGTTAGCTCTTCGTTCGTGTTTTGGTTTTGATACACATTTATCAAATTTAGTCACAGCTATCAGCTGTCCTTTGTACTATCGTATGTTATAACTACTCTTTGTGTTACTCTTACAGGAAGCCTTTGTTATTTTACGTTGTTGAAGGACGCGTTTAAACGCCCCAGACACCTCACAAGTTGATGTTTGTAAGTAAATGTTGTGTATTATTTATTAAAGAACCGCTATTGTAGACAAATCATTGATTTGCCAACTTCGGTTTTGCGTGTATCTCAATCGGGTGACAGTCTGTGAAGAGAAATTATCAATATATTTTGATTTAGATCATGAACTGATTGATGTTGGACGACCAGTGAAATCCTGGAAGCACTGGACGACCGTCCAGATAAATTCATAGAAACGGACTGCTGATTACATCTCTTATCTCAGTGGAACGATCGCCGTTTGCTCGTTCATTTCGTTTGGAATCACCAAGTGACTTCACCAAACAGGACGATATCATCTGCGTATTGTAAGTCGATAAGTGGACCTCTAGGAAGGAGATCAATGCCCGAGAATTCAATCGACGATAGCGTTATTTCCATCAGTAGGTCTATGATGAAGTTAAACAAAAATAGAGAAAGTGACAGCCTTGACATACACACTTGATGTTGCAAAATCAGATGACAGTTCGCCATAAGCTCTGACTCCACTAGTAGTGTTCGAGTGAAGAGCCTTCACAAGGTTTATGTACTTCTGATGTGAGCCTTTCAATGACAGACACTGTCACAGCACCTCTCGATCCACAGAGTCAAATGCTGCTTTTTAATCAAGAAAAACTATCATCAGTACTCATTCATATACATATACCACTCTAATCCTTAGGAAATTGATCCATTTCACAGACAATGAAATGAAAATGTCTTTCAGGTCACTTGTGATTGCCATCGGTTGATATTCGCCTTAGACTACTTCTGATTAGCTCTCCATATCAACATATCTCTTATTCATTATAGTTATCTAATTATGAAAAAAATGTAATTATAGGATTACGTAACTGATCTGTTTGTAACTGAATAATTTCCATACACAAGCTTTCAGGAGTATTGCACAACTTTCCTAATTGGTTCGATATTCACTAAATATGATGTGTATGGATTTATCATTTATTTATGTCAAATGGTAGGGGCCAATCGGTAGGGAACCGTGATTATCCAACTACTTATAATATGTAGAACTTGACAGTATGACATATCTGTAATCTTGAAGGGATTGTAGTTCTCTGAGTACATTGAACCCATATTACCTAATATCAGTCAAAGAAGCTGATATTGAGCTACTAGGATTGAAAGTGATCTCCAGAAATATTCAGATATTAATGTTACTAGTATTTGATCATTGGTGTCTTTGAAGCATTGATCGTATATCCTGAGACCACTGAGTAAGTAATCCAGTTGTTAGGAAACGAGTACTAGAGGAGGATGACAAATCAATTGATGGATTAGTGAAACTTCATCAGTTAAGATCACTGAGACATGTGTTTCGTATGCCCAACAACCGACTGCCCCGACGTGTGATGTTTTATGGTGTAGGAGTAGGTTGGAAGGAAACTAGAGGCGGCTAAACCAAACATGACACGACTTCATGAAGTCACTGACAAGTTTGCTGAGACATATTAATAGATGTAGACTGCCTTGTTAAGATCCGCTAGACGACAGCAACCGATGGTTATAGATCCTGAATGGAATGGCTGAAAATCGTTTGCAATGATGCAGGTGCATCCTGTTTGTATTCTCCCAAATTCTAATCGTCTGAATTATTCATGTCCCTTTGTTTTCTTCCCTTTTTCAACTTTATTTCACTGGGTTATGATCCTTGAATTACATTTTCAAACCCTAATGTTTCCGATTACTGCTTATACTTTTACTACCTCTACCACTATGGGATTTGAATGGACAATTGTATCTGTGTGCTGATGTGGTATGTCAACTAATGTACGTGCGAAATTCTACTTTGTTACTGACTGACTGACTGACTTACTGAACAGTAACTATGATAAAGTTTGTCTAATTACATTCCGAGTTTATTCGTTTGGGTTAAGAAGCTCTTGGTTCACGTAGAATCTACCACATTATCCAATAATATCGATTTAGTCTACACTCATAAATATCTAAATAAATCAATAAATCTTTCCAGAAACATTCTACAATTAACATTAAAGAGCAAAGTTAAGATGAACACTGATACGATGGACGTCATACATACCAATGCTAATTATAATGAGATGAATGATATTTTAAGAAAACACTTATTTAAAAAGAAATAAAGACAAACTTGATCTTCATGTCATAGAAATTAATTCACACAATTGTTTCTAACTACTTTTATCGATATAAGTAGTTAAATATGATTAAATTTGATAGTAACCAATTTCTCACAGCATATTCATGTGATTGTTTCACTGAAAATGTAGCATAATTAGGCAAATTTTGACATGAATCATCAATCTTTTCTCCATTTTCTTCGGTATTCTTTTCAGTAGTCTGTAAAAGATTCACTTCAGTTGAAGTATTTGGAAAGATTCTTTCATCAATCATATTATCATCATCATCTTCATCATTGGGTGAAGAATGAGTTGATTTTTAACTTGTATTAGTAATGATTGAAGATGATCTAACTTCTTTCGAACTTCATCTATTTCATTTTCATCAAGACTAGATATTGAATGTGGAGATTTTTCTTTTGGAATATAAGAACATCGTGGAGACAATGGACTCATCCTATTCCTTATGTAAATTGAAGAAAAACAGAAAACATGTATGGTTGATAATCATCAAGAGAAAAACAAACACGTATGAAGTTGCAACTGTTATTCACAACTATTAAATCAAGAAATTGCAACTTCATAGATTAGAAAAAGATCAACCGTTGGATGAATATCGCCAATGATAACATCTCAGATTATAAGAATATTTGATGTCTATTTTAAACTCAGAGGCCACACCCTTAAAACGAAGGTAAGGGCTTCATGTCTTTTAAATTTAGAAATCATCTGAATCGCCTTTAACATTTATCAATAAACCCATCATAGTCGTTGTTGCTGATTGTATTTGGGTTTGTGGATTGGTTTATCATATTAGCAGCCTAAAATGCGGACCTAGTTTAGATAATAGAATTAGAAATTTAGAGACTATCAACTACACTAGTCAAATAATCAAATTCTCAGGTAGTTTTTGGCTAAATAGATGTTTAACATGAAAACTCTGGAGCCTACTAAAATTAACGCTTGACGAATACTTTCGAATTAAAATTTATAATATAGAAAGGTAGATCTGATTCTTTAACGCTACAAATTTCTGATAATTTCGAATCACCTAAAGCAACAATACCTATTTTTCCACTGGCTAATCCTCAATCAACACTATAACTAGTCAAACATAATAGTTTCAGGATTTCGTCATAAAGTGATTGTCACGACTTGACAATCACGTAATATGATTGATGAAATTAATGAAATCGTTCAGCGAACTGACTTATAATTATCACTAGTGTTGTTTTTCTTTTATCTTCATTCACTGCAGATGATTACAGTATGTTTCTCTATCAGTTGCTCATTCAGTAAATATCTCAAAACCTTGTCAGTCTAATTGATGGTTTAGCGACACAATCATGCATGCAAATAATCAGTATAAGCAGTCGAGCAAATCTCCTGCAAACTGAAAACATTAATGTCGAATTTACCCCAACACTGACTAAGGTTCAAGTCATTATCTTAGACTTGAGTTGGGAGTGTACTCCCCTTGGTTACAACTTGTTTCCTCCCTGATAATCACATGAGCGTCACTCACTGTTAATTATCTTGTAAAAACTTATTTAGCTGAATACATCTTGCAGCACATCACCTAGTAATGTAGTATATAGACTTAACTGATTTCAGTAACTTATAATCACTATATCTCAATTGAATCGTATTCCGCCTTATGATAAACTGCATACTTGCAACTAACTTGTATGCATCATCAGCGGTCAGGTATAAATATGTATAAATAGTCTATGGCAACTCAGAACATTGAGTCTAGAGTATGTCTCTTACGAATACACTCATGTTTAACGATTTGTTCTTAGCTATCTGTCCAAAATTCATATAATTATCATTCACGTATTTAAATTTTGTTTTAATAACCATTCATGTGTATTAGTAGTATTATTAAATTCTATCACGGTCAAGTAAAAATGAGGTTGAGAAAATCTCCCCGTAACTAAATAAACCGTATCAAACTAAATGGAACACTACTTGGAATTCTGCTCCACGGTAATACTTTTGTTCCTTCAGTTAGCCGACTAATACAAATGCAATTGGAAGTCAACTCATATGGACAACTTACCGGCATAATCGTTATCCGATTTCATAATTTAAACCAAAACTAATACTAATAGTAACATTTCTACAATACTGATTACTTTTAATATTTCTAAACACAAAATACACACCACGTATGAGTTAAGTTATTAACCCAACGGCTATTAACACGCATCGTTTTATTATTACTATTGTAATCCCATTTTCTATAGCTCAAATAATCTTCACCCAAATTTTCATTTTAAGCGTGTTAAGCATGAAGGCAGGTATTTTAAAATTATTACAAATATTTCCCGACCAGATGTTGCCGCCTTCTTTTTGATTTATCTTTCAGCTTATCATTACCCGGAGGATTCTTACTAGTCTTGGTAACCTTAAGCGCACGACAATCCCATCCAATTCGGTATCGAACCAACATCACGTTGATTCTGGTGGGAGAGTAGTGTAGTGGCATTGGACCATAATCACACAATTCTCAAAGCTGAACACGAGACTACTCGGAAAATAGATATTCAATATTCAACGTGGAGAATACCTAACGATGGGGAAGGCGCGAACAAGGAATTGAAAGTTATCGGATGGCATGGCTCAGCCATGTAGGCGTGGTCCCTCTGAATATTACCTTATATCTTTATTCATAATAAATATATTGTTCTTTCTCTAGCCTAAGCTTGTTCTTCATCATGTATTGGTAGTTGTTACGATACAGTGAGTTGGTGTAGACGATGATGTGACTTCCACGTAAGATCTTATAGATTAGGCAGTTATATCATGACAAATCTACAATTTTAGGATTACGTCTATTATTAAAGCAGTACTAATATCATAGTAGACCATAAGTCTACATTGATAAGCCCGACTAAAGAAACGCAACCTATTACCAATAATCCTTATTTCCACTTTAACCTTGTCGATCGATTTTATATTTATGTTAACCCAATATTCTAATAGTGCTCTGATTAATGCTAACATGTATTATCGTAATGTTATATTGATTATTACTTATAACATACTCACTCAATCGATACCAATCACCGATTATCTATATCAATTAGCTTTGATAATTCATTAACAAACTTTCATAGCATTTATATGTTTCTGTGGAATAAACTTGTTGAAACATCTAGCTCTATCTAAATACAACGTGAATATACATCGACTAACAATGCAATCAACGACTAGATAGTTACTATTATTATTATTATTCACAAACATCTTATGGGTACATAAGTGTTGTGAAGAAACCATTTCGAATTTCTTCAAAACATGCAATAATACACACTTTTCAATAATGTCAGCATATACTTGCCATTTAAAAAAATAAAAAAATTTAGAGCAATAATAGTAGACAATTAATAATAATAAATCGAGTCTATGCAATTGAGAAGAATGTTGAATTGAGTTTAAAGAAGGAAATGGAGAAAATAAAGGAATAGAAATAAAGGAGACGTGAAATACGCAAACAGTCTAATAGGCGTGTTTACGAACACAGAACAAGAATAAACGACTATGTGTGTATCATTAAATTAGTAACAAGAAAATAACTTATAATTGCAGTAAGATATGACGCTAGAATATAAATGTTTGTGCAGTCACATAGCTTGGAGTGATGCGATGAAAGTCTCAATTGAGTGAAAAGGATAATGAAATATCAATATGTATAGTAGTCCTATATGCATAGTGAAGATAAAACGAGTCTGACAAGTTAATTTAAGTGTAACACAAGTTATTGTCTTCATTACAAACTTCGTAATCTTAAGAATAAGATTTATTTAGAGGGAAAGTAGAGAGACAAGAAAGTGAACACTTAGTGAAAAGTTTTGATCCATGATAAGAATAATAATTGTGTAATGAATAGCAACCTCAGAAGGAAACCAGCAATTGAGAAAAATAAAATAAAAATCCTTTAAAGCACTCGGATGAACACATTTAGATTTATGTAATAGTATACAGAGTGAAACCGGATATTAGTATAAACACTTGTGCAATAATAATTAAGATGATGCTATGAAAGCCAAAATTGATTTCAAAGGACAATCTGGAGTTAAACATGTTTAGAAGGATAAGAAGATACAAAAACAATATCTAATGTGTCGGGGAACTAATAATGACATGAATAACGGTAATAATGATACACACGAACATAAGCAGACATCATATATTAAGATAAATAGAAATAAAATAAAATAGATGTGGAAAGGTTTAAAGGTTTTATTTTGCTTTTCAAGCAATTAAATGGATGATGGACCTTGTTTGTATAAATCATTATTGAATACATTGATATTCAATAGGTGACATAATCTACTTTCGGATAGAAAATCGTCAAGGAGACTTTTGAACCGGGTTGTAGTTTCACTGCAACGGAGGTTCACTGGCAGTCTGTTCCACATGGTTGAGTAGCGAATAAGGAAAAAATTCTGACGTAAGTTTGTGTGGGTTCTCGGAATCGCTAGAATATTCTCCTTATTGCATAGATTATGGGATGATATCATCAGGTATGAAGGGGTGGATACCGAGGAGTAGAAATACCGTTAATAAGCCGGTAGATAAATTATTTATTTATTTATTTGAACACATGAATATTGGTACAAGAGAGCGCCAATATATATGCGCCACACAAAACAATGAGAATTCGAAGAGAAATAGAAAAAAAAACTAAGGAGCAAAAAAAAAAGAGAACAATAACGAAGAGATTGGTGTAAGGTAGTGTGGTAGTAACGAGGGAACGAAAGGTACAATCAGAAGAAATCTTTCAGGTAAGGAGACACAACCACTTTTTATGAAGAAAGTAAAAGAAGGTTACAGCAGGATCGCCACTGGCTTCTATTCTGAGCCATATCTGATAACGTCTCTAGCCACTGTGTAGCACCATCTCTCGGACCCCAACCAGGGAGTCGTGAAGGACCAACACAAGCCAGTCCTTTGCAGCTTTCTTTCATGCCACGACACCATGTCATGCACTGACCACCTCTCCGCTTCTTCCAACCAGTCCCAGAGTCGGCAAATAATGCACGACGTGGAATTCTCTGGGACGACATTCGGAGAACATGTCCAAGCCACCGAAGTCGGTGTTTCAAGATGGTGACACCAATTGAATTATCATCTCTGTGCCCGAACACACGATGCCGAACCTCTGCATTACTGACATGGTGTTGCCACTGAATGTCAGCAATCCTTCGGAGACAGCGATGATCGAACACAGAGAGTCGTCTAACGTCCTCAACTCGGAGAGGCCAGGTTTCACAAGCATAGAGCAAAACTGCTCTCACCGACGCGTTGTAGATCCGACCTTTTACAGCCAGACTAACATCACGAAGGCGCCAAAGGTGGCCCAGATTGGCATAAGCCGCTCTGGCTTTCACTATTCGTGCATTGATCTCATCACTCACACCCCCACCAGCACTTATGCAGCTACCCAGATACACG